AAAATAAAAATGAACTGAAATAAAAAGAATATTTTATTTATTTATTTATTTTTTATTAATAAAAAAGGAAAGAATTTAACTGAAATAAGCAGAATATGAAATACAAAGTACTAGCCGGCCTCGTATGCTCGAACACAGCCCACATTTTTTAATTTTTCGCACAGGTTGCAACCCTCTTCGAAAAATAAAACCTTACTGCAAATCGGAAGGTCATACCTTTTCCTTTGACACCTCATTTTTTTAAATCAATGAACTGTGCAAATCTAATGTCATTAACAAAAAATGCCCTCGCGTATTATATATACATAATTTTTAAATAGGTAGCAACCCCACTCAAACAAAAAATATAAACTTATTGCACATGCAGAGACCATATCCTTTCATTTGGTACCTCAGTTTTTAGTCCAACAAACGGTGAAGATCTTATAATTTTTATACCCGAGCGCACTTGTGCACAAGGGTATTATAACTTTGTTCACATAACGGTTGTTTGTAACAGGCAAAACGAATCGAGATAGATATAGACAAATGTATACATAAATGATCAGGATGAAAAGAGAAATCGATTAAGCGGTGACTGTCTGTCCGTCCGTCCGTCCGTCCGTCCGTCCGTCTGTGCACACGATAACTCGAGTAAAAATTGAGATATCTTAACGAAACTTGGTACGTGGACTTCTTTTGGGCATAGGACGGATGGTATTGAAAATGGGCGAAATCGGACAATAACCACGCCTACCTCCCATATAACGGTAATTTTCAGAAATACGAAAAGTGCGATATTTTAGTAACTACTGAAGATAATTCACTCAAAATTGATATTTACAATGAGTTTTAGACGAAAAATATGAATATTAAAAAATTTTGGCAAATGGGCGTAGCCACGCCTACTTATGGTTACATGTGTATATCTTGGTAACCGCTGTACCAATATCTTCCAAACTTGGCACAGTTGTTGGCCCTGCTACAGCATACCAAGTGGCCGAAAATTTCTAAAATCGGACAATAACCACGCCCACATCCCATATAACGGTAATTTAGAAAAATACGAAATCCTCGATAAATCAGTAAATATTAAAGCTAATTTATTCAAAATAGATGGTGGCAAAAATTTTTTACCAAGAAATACGCTTATGATACAATTTTGGAAAATGGGCGTGGCACCGCCCACTTATGATCACATATATGTATCTAGCTAACCGTTCTAGCAATTTGTACCAAACTCGGTATGGTTATTGTGCTTGCCACATAAAAGCAAAGCGTTGAAAATTATTGAAATCGGACTCAAATTACGACCGCTTTTCATATAACGGTATATTTCAGAAATGCTTGAAACTGCAATATTTCGAAATTTAAGGACGCTAATTTACTTAAAATTTATACACCCCGGCTTATCGTGTAGCGGTAGCTTTCGGAAAGGTGGAAAACATATATTTAATAATTGCGCCGGGTATTTAATGTTCGGCTCCGCCCGAACTTAGACTTTCTTACTTGTTAAAACATGGCAAACCTACTCAAAAAGTAATACATTATTGAACATTTAAAAGGTAATCCCTTTTATTTGACACCTCATTTTTTGTAATCCAACTAACAGTGCAGATCTAATAATTTTTTAGACAGGTGGCAACCCTATAGATAATACTCCTATCGATACAGATCATATTTAAAAAATTTTGTATAAATCCGTTAAAGTAGTTTTGGAGATTAGCGTGGTCAAAATATCTAGACTTTCCTTTATGCTAAGTATAGAAGATATTAGTTTTTAAATAGGTGGCAACCCTATTCAGAAAATGAAAAAATGAAAGC